TCTATGAATATTGACCATGTTTCCAGGCGTATATGATTAAGATTAAAGACATTTTGATTTGCCTGTAAATTCCTTATCTTGAAGTAAAGTATAGGATATAGGACACCCTCCCTTCGAATCATGTGTTCTGCTTTGCTTGTGGGGTCTGAGTTCCGTTCTTAAGGTTAGAAGGAGGTTGTACTGATCCAGATGCACAGCATTTCTTGCAGTAGCAGAAAACATTAAGGAGTTAAATAAAGATTCAAAGTAAAATAAGAAACTAGTTAGCAAAGAGTAATTGTGTCCACAATCACCATGACCCCACGGTGAAGGGGGTCCATTACCTTGGACACTAGCCAAGATCTGAGGACTCGGAGTGGGGTAGGGTTATGGGGGGTGTCTTCAAAAGCTTTTCCAGTGTCTAATCACCTAAAGGTACAGCCATAACCTTGAGTCTATGAATATTTAACTTGTGTCCTGTACTGTACTCCAACAATATTTACAGATAAGACAATTTCTTTTATTGTTTGCCCGTGTCCAGTTTTTCCTGTAGGTGGCAGTGTAACTCAACTGTCTCTGATTTACTTCTGTTTCTGTTCCTTAATTAACTCCAAGAAACTGATTTTCAAGTAAGCACAAAGAATTGTATAATGGTAATGCTATAAAAAGTCAAATGCACATATTTAATTGAGCAAACATAGTGTGCATATCAGTTTGCCTAGTCAGTGTTTGAAATAATATGATGGAATTAAAAGAAAGGAAGACAAAAGTTTGGGAGAAAAGAGATAGGAGAGGTCCCACTACCAAAATAGCTAAACATCAAAAGGCACATTTTGAATTGCACCCCAACACACCTCTGCTGCTTCTTTACAATGCATGTGGTACACTGTGCTGCATAAAAATGCTGTAATACTTATTTTCTGTTATGTTCAGCTGCATTAAAGCCCAGCATAACAGGTCTTAATGCTCGAAAATGCCTGTGCTATGGGGACTGCGTTCTAGTGTAAATGGGTCCTAATTTATCAAAGTTCACAACAATAAAAAAAAAAAGCCTTATTTTTTATTCGTAGCTAGTGTTACTCTCCCCTGCTGACAGTGACATGGAACTTGTTAGCCTTCTATACTGTAATGTAAACACAAAGTTGGCATACAGGAGTGGAGGGGGCATTTTAGAATGGGGATAATGTGCTGCAACGACAAGCCAGCAGCTTTTGATCACAGTTGCAGTGCAGCCCTATTGAATTAAATGGCTGAGTCTGAAAAGCAATGCCACCTATCAACTGAACATGTCGTGTTAAATTTACTGCAGCCTTCTCCAGCTGTATTTTAGCATTTATGTGGGAGGCCAGGGGTGGTGAAACTGCAGCTCAGCCACCTGTTTTTACCACCCGCTTGCCACCTGTGTGAATGAAGCTTAAGGGCTGTTCACACCATGAATCGCACAGGAACATGCTACACGTTCCTGTGCCATTCACATACAACCTGGGTGTAGTGCGATTTAAACCCTTTTATTTGAATGGTCTGAAATTGCTCCGGACTGCAGCAAAAGTAGCCACGTACATGCAGCTCACTGTAGAAATTCAGCAATGCAGAAGCCAACAGAACTTCCACGCATGCGTAGGAGTGACGTCATCCCTGCCCAGCCAATGAAAGCAGGTGGCATTCAATAGCCAGAAGCTGACCATTAGAAGATGTCAGCAGCCGGTGGGGAACTCCAGGACATCACATTTATGTGATAGACCAACACAAAGTGGCACATAATTGTGAAGTGGAAGAAAATGTTAAATGGTTTTCCAAATTTTTTCCAAATAAATATCTGAAAAGTGTGGCGTGCATTTGTATTCAACCCCCTTTACTCTGATACCCTTAACTTTGATCTAGTGGAACCAATTGCCATCAGAAGTCACCTAATTAGTAAATAGAGTCCAATTGTGTGAAATTTATTCTCCGTATAAATTCAACTGTTATGTGGTGAACCCCTCAGAGATTTGTTAGAGAACAATAGTGAATAAACAGGTAACAAACAGCATGGAAGCCAAGGAACACACCAGACAAGTCAGGGATAAAGTTGTGGAGAAGTTTAAAACAGGGTTAGGTTATAAAAAATATCCCAAGCTTTGAACAGGGCACTGTTCAATCCATCATCCGAAAATGGAGAGTATGGCACAACTGCAAACCTACCAAGACATGGCTGTCCACCTAAACTAACAGGCCGAGCAAGGAGAGCATTAGTCAGAGAAGCATCCAAGAGGCCCATGGTAACTCTGGAGGAGCTGCAGAGATCCACAGTTCAGGTGGGAGAATTTGTCCATAGGACAACTATTAGTCATGCACTCCACAAATCTGGCCTTTATGGAAGAGTGGCAAGAATAAAGCCATTGTTGAAATAAATCCATAAGTCCCATTTGCGAGAAGCCATGTGGGGGACACAGCAAACGTGGAAGAAGGTGCTCTGGTCAGGTAAAATCTAAATTGAAAAAAGCAAAACGCTATGTATGGGAGAAAATTAGCACTGCACATCACCCTGAACACACCATCCCCTGTGACACACAGTAGTAGCAGCATCATGTTGTTGTGATGGTTTTCTTCAACAGGGAAAGGGGAGCTGGTCAGAGTTGATGGGAAGATGGATGAAGCAGGGACAGGGATGCTGCTCAGAGTTGATGGGAAGATGGATGAAGCCAAATACAGGGCAATCTTAGAAGAAAACCTTTTAGAATCTGCAGTAGACTTGAGACTGGGGCAGAGGTTCACCTTCCAGCAGGACAACGACCTTAAACATACAGTCAGAGCTACAATGGAATGGTTTAAGTCAAAGCATATTCATGTGTTAGAATGGCCCAGTCAAAGTCCAGACCTAAATCCAATATAGGATCTGTGGCAAGACTTGAAACTTGCTGTTCACAGACACACTCCATCCAATTTGACAAAGCTTGAGCTATTTTGCAAAGGAGAATGGGCAAAAATGTAACTCTCTAGATGTGCAAAGGTGGTAGAGACATCCCCAAAATGATTTGCAGCTGTAATTGCATCGAACGGTGGTTCTACAAAGTATTGACCCAGGAGGGCTGAATGCAAATGCACACTGCACTTTTCAGATATTTATTTGGTGCCATTAGTAACAGAAAAAACAGGTGACCACTTCCAGGTGACCCCACATGGTTTTGCACTCATCTCTATTTCACTTCTGTTATTAGATAGGTCTCACTGTGCTTATTTTGATTGGACCCACTGTGTGTCTTGTCAACAACTTGACCATTCACATGTACCAGGAATGCGATTTCTTTCCATGCAATACACGGCCACTCTAAAAACCGTGTCAGGGAAAAAATTAATTGTGCAAAGTAGTCGACTTTATGCAATCATATAACCCTAACCATTACACCGCACTCACATGTATACTGTATATGCCTAGGGAATGGCACCAGGTACATACAGAGCTTGTTGTTGTTATGGCTATCACCGCCCCAAAGTCAGAAGCTGGCTTGCGCTCCAGGGATGGGATAGGATTTGATGTGATGTATTGGCTGGGGAATACTGCTTCAGCTAGTTTCGTGTGTAATTAGACGTCTTCAGGAAGATATGGCAAATTGTTAAGTAATTTTTGATGCACGGTTTTTGGCAGCGCAGTCTATATTATACTACACTATACGCAGTATATTATTATACACATTTATAAGGCTCACTAATGTGGAAGTCAGTCACATTTTGAAGACTGCAGCAGCCATAATCACACTCATCTGTGTTTCTTTGTTTTTGGATTCTATTGTTTGTTTTTTTTTTTTTGGTTTTGCCTGTGGCGCAGAGTTTTCATTGTTATTATTAAGACTTCAAAATTGCTGTTCACATACGCTCTCCATCTAATCTGACAGAGCTTGTGCTGTTTTGCAAAGAGGAATGGACAAAAATTTCACTCTCTAGATGTGCAAAGCTGGTAGAGACATACCGCAAAAGACTTGCAGCTGTAATTGCAGCGTAAGGTGGTTTTACAAAGTATTGACACAGGGGGGCTGAATACAAATGCACGCCACACTTTTCAGATATTAATTTGTAAAAAAATGTGAAAACCATTTATCATTTTCCTTCTACTTCACAATTATGTGACACTTTGTGTTTGACTATCACATAAAATCCCAATAAAATACTTTTAGGTTTTTGGTTGTACATAACAAAATATTGAAAATTTCAAAGGGTATGAATACTTTTTCAAGGCACTGTACACATAACACTTGCACTGTAAATTACATAGTTCTGATTTCTGCACTCTGTATTTAGGTTGAAGTTTAAGTCCCTCCCCGTTTTACTGAAATTGTGAAGAGAATCATACGTGATGGAAACATTTAAATATTTAAAAATAATTCTTTGTTCTGAGGTTTGTCTGTACAGTCCTGCTAACCTCCTATCCTCTGCCCCCCTAACATTTTTTACTGCACCCCCAGATTGGACAGGCTAGATCCGGCCCTGTTATGCAGCCACTCGGCGAGTAGGCCTTAACACCAAGTGGCCACATATATGCGGCCCTGTATAAACCACTTATCGTACTGAGAATGCACTCCCAGTACGGTTGCCGGGCTCCTGATGCATACTTGTCATTGGGAGCTTTCCGATCATGTGACCTATGTGACAGCCAATCACAGTGGTAACATGACCCAAATGCCAGCCTCTCAACCTTTCTGCATTTAGAAGCTCTTAAAGGGCCAGGAAGCATCGGCGCAAAGGGTTAAAGCTTATGTGTTTTAAAGCTTAATTATTTTATTATATTAATACTTTAATGTGCAAAGCCTGGACATTTCAAGGTATATTGTTAGCAGCAAACAGTCAAAAAAATAGCTGCCATTTTTCATTGAAAATTGTTGAGGATGACAATTTGTTGTATATTTATTATTATTTTTATCTTTACCCCTGTTGTTTTTTATCCTAATTGTGTTTGCTGTAGTGTTGTTGTAGAGCATGCATTTATTTTGTTACATGCTGCAATTCAGAAATTAAACTAATGAAAGTTGTTGTGATTTGGTTTCAAGGTCTTTACCACACATACTTAATGGAAAAAAACAATTCAATGCAACAGGAAATCCAGTGTTCGCCAGAGATCTCTTGGATTTCTCTGACCGCAAAGAAGAGTGTCAAAAAGGTTAAGTAACACTTTTTCTGTGCATTCTGTCATAGTATTGAACAAATATTTGTCATTAGTAATTTTGGGAGCCTGTACATTTTCTACTCATAATACAGTTTGTACACAATAAATACATTTAAAACATTAAATAATTAAAAACTGTGTCAAAAATTCTAGTGTATATATAAATGATATGTGCAATCCAAGAAAGAAAGTCTCTTTCAGTATTCAGATAGCGATATCATTAAAGTTCTCCATTAAAAACTTCCTCCAAAAGATTTGTTTGAGGTATCTGCAAAATTGAACTCCGCAAAGTGGTGTGCCAATCTATTCCACCTGACACCACTAAAGTGACAAACTCACTTCTCAGTTTTGACCCCTTTAATACATAAGTTGCTAGGAAAGCAAAGATACAAAGTCTTGTTTAAACTCTGGAAAATCTGAAAACCTGCAGCACTTAACAAACACACTCTTCCATAAAGTGCATAAACGAGAGGAGACAAGGCTAAGCAAACCATCTTTATTGCCAACTTAGTACCAGCATTCTACACCCCCTTCTTAACTAGGCAATGTTTCAGCTCTGTGATAGTTTTACTGACAATTAGTTGATCAAGCAGCACTGTACCCAAATTGTTTTCTCTCTTTTTTTTTATGACAGAGCGTTCTTTTGGTGGTAACTAGTCAGCTTTTTGGATGTGTGTGGCACATCCAAACGTGCATCGGTTCAAACAGGCTCACCTCTGTGTTTATCTGCAATCTCTGGGCATTTATCCAAAATTGATCTGGGCAGCTGTGGAGCCATCGCTTTTACATGATCGGCCCATGCTAACTTTCATTTTCACTAGCACTGTGATTACTGCACTATCCATTTTGGAAGAAAGCCGTTTGTTTACGGTTTAAAATGTGCATGTACATTGTAGAATACTGCACAAGTTGTTTTGTGGAATAAATTATAATGTTTCGGAAATTTAATTATTTTTGGGTCGCAACTTAATGGCCAAGGACAAACGTGGGTCCTGAGGTTCCAGAGGTTGAGAACCACTGCTCTAAACTGATGAGCTGTAAAAGCATTTAAATGATCGCCTGTTGTTAATTTAATGAGTGCACACAGTTTTGAGGCCTGACACATTTTGGTATCCGTTCACGTTACACTACCTCATTTTCTATTTTATACCAATAAGAGGGAATTAAATTGCATTTGCGTGCAATTAAATGCATTTTAAGTGCATTTTTTCATGAAAATATAGATCGGATAAACAGTTGCGCAAATATTGTGTGACTTAAATTGCAATTTATTTCAGAAATTATATAATGTTTTGGGGGTTTTAAGTATTTTATAGATGCATCTTTTAACCTGTGTGTGAAAAATTTAAAAATGCTCTTGAGTGGAAGTGGTTAGTGACCAGTTTATTTCTGTGCTATATATAAAGGGAAAAAAAAAGACCAAACATTGGGAAAAAAGTTTCCCTTTCTGTTTATAAAACATGTTATCAAATATTTTTTCTTTACACAATTAGCCCAAAATGTATTCTACTAAATTTCTTTGGTAAAAAAAAAAAACCCAATTAAGTGCATGCAATTTAGTCTGTATGGAACTCTTTACTCTTGCAGGCACAACTTTGCTATCAGCTGTTGCAATTTCTGTTTGTCAAGCCACAGCTATCTGGACTAGGACAATGAACAACCACCAGGATCCTGTATTCCAGGACCATGCTTTGGCAGAACACTTACAGCAAATACCCTCCACATTGCTGTTTTGTGTTGATGCCCTAGAACAGGGGTCTGCAACCTTTAAGACATAAAGAGCCACTTGGACCCGTTTCCGAGAGGGAAAAAAAGACTGGGAGCCGCAAAACCATTGCAACATTTAAAACAAATCCGACACTGCATATATTGCAAAAAGCAGTCTGGTCATGAAGGGGGTTTAAGGGCCCAGTAAGCAAAGGGTTAATCAGGGCCACAGTGTATCGTCATAATCACAATCATAGCCTTAGGTCAGTGGTGGGCAACCTTTTTTTTCAACTGAGCCAAATCTCGCCAAAACCATGATTGAAATTTATTTTGAGAGCCACATTTTTAAAACTGAAAATACATCCCCCATATAGTAATTCATCCCCCATATAGTAATTCATCCCCCATAGTAATTCATCCCCCATAGTAATTCATCCCCCATATAGTAATTCATCCCCCATAGTAATTCATCCCCCATATAGTAATTCATCCCCCATAGTAATTCATCGCCCATATAGTAATTCATCCCCCATATAGTAATTCATCCCCCATAGTAATTAATCCCCCATATAGTAATTAATCCCCCATATAGTAATTCATCCCCCCTATAGTAATTCATCCCCCATATTAATTCATCCCCCATATTAAGTCCCCAAGTCCCCCTGTGTCAATTCACTTACCTTTGCTCCGCGTGTTCCTCTCGCCGTGTTCCCGCGCCGTTCCGGTGTAGCATGAAAATCTGTCTCCTATGAGGATCTGTCCCCCTCGACGTATCTGCGCATGTGCCAGTTTCAGGCATTAGCAGCCGATCGGCGATCTCCAGCACATGCGCAGATACGTCGAGGGGGACAGATCCTCATAGGAGACAGATTTTCATGCTACACCGGTCTTCAGGGTGGACTGTGAGAGGAGCCTAGCGGGAGCCTAGCTCCGCGGGCCAGATTAAAAGGTCCGCCGGGCCGTAGTTTGCCCATTGCTGCCCTATTGCCTGTCACCTGGTGGGCAGTGTGCTCCGGAGCCGCAGCCAAGGTGAAAAAGAGCCGCATGCGGCTCTGGAGCCGCGGGTTGCCGACACCCACCCTAGAACAAGCCATGACCAGAATGGCTCTGATTTCTGTCCACATCCACAGAATCTTATGACTAAAAGCCATATTTTGCTTGTATCTTTTTGGTTAATTTACAATAGCCATGGCAACACAAGCTTGGACAGCTGAAGCTACTTGTAAAAGTTCAATCACAGAATTCGGTTTACCCAAACCTAAATTACAATCCTAAAATAATTAATATGCCACCCTAGACGCAAACAGTTCTACCTTCTCCCCCGAAAGTCCAAAGTCAAGATAACAATCTCTTGGCGTCTGTGATATTCTCAAAACAATGATATTTGTGCTCCTAAAATTAATCCACCTTCATGAAGGCATTCTTTATATCCATGCGTACCTCAAAAAGAAAAAAATTCTACATATTGCATTACCCCATGGACATAAAGGAATACAGTATCCACCCAGTGCTACTGGTAATAGTGTCAAACCACTCAGTGTCCACTTCTAAGCAGCTGTATTAAATACCCTTACCCTATCAAAACTTGTAAATGGCTTTAAATCTCATAGTAATCCACAAAACTGGTGCTCCAAGCCGCCCTTTTCTCCCATCAGTATTACCTCCGAAAAAAACATATAATAGTGCAATATTCTTTAGGATATCCAAAAGTGCTCTCCTTCTTCACAGCATTAATGTGATGTGAATCCACTCCCCGTCACCTTACACACCATGCACCTTACCGGCCTAAACACTTCCACAAAAACAAGATCCTTATAGTGTAGAAAGTCTTAGAAAAGGGTCTAGTTTATTAAAATTATGGTTACAATCAAGAAAATATTAAAAATGCATGATCCTCCATAATAGGGAACAAGGGTTCCCTTTTTGAAGAAGTCGGAAGTGACGAAACGCGTCTAGGACGTGACATTAGACATAGACCGGAAGTTACAGAGCGGCCATCTTGATTGAGGTTTATTCACTGATTGACATTTTTTCTGAGGATTCATGTTCCCTGTTATGGAGGACAATGCGTTTTTAATATTGTCTTGATTGTAAGCATAATTTTAATAAACTAAACCCTTTTCTAAGACTTACACTATAAGGATCTTGTTTTTGACCCATGCCATGATGTCATATGGAGATTGAACATGGCTGGGATTATCGGATGAGGGGAGCCATTTATGCTTGTGGAAGTGTTTAGTCTGGTAAGGTGCATGGTGTGTAAGGTGATGGGGAGTGGATTCACATTACACTAATGCTGTGAAGAAGGGGAGCACTTTTGGATATTGCACTATATGTTTTTTCGGAGGTAATACTGATGGCAGAAAAGAACGGCTTGGAGCACCAGTTTTGTGGATTACTATGAGATTTAAAGTCATTTACAAGTGTTGATAGGGTAAGGGTATTTAATCTCTTCATGCCGGCTGAACGCAAATGTGCGGCCCCCCGGCGTCTGGGCCTAGACGCCGAGCGGCCACACATGTGCATTCTATTTAAAAAGGACATATGTGCCAAGAGCGCGCGCCCTGTGCGCTCCCAGCACACATGTCCGGTACTCACGGAAATGTCCCGATCTCCTCTTTCGATCGGGACCTTTCCCGATCATGTGACCGCCGTGACGACGCGTCACGGCAGTCACATGACCCTAAACCCCACCCTGCCTCCCGACTTCTGAAACTCTTAAAGGGCCAAGAGGCGCCGGCATGAAGGGGTTAATACAGCCGCTTAGAAGTGGACACTGAGTGGTTAGACAGTTTATTAGCACTGGGTGGATACTGTATTCCCTTATGTCCATGGGCTAATGCACTATGAAGAATTTTTCTTTTTGAGGTACACGTGGATATAAAGAATGCCTTCGTGAAGGTGGATTAATTTTAGGAGTACAAATTAATTGTAAAAGCTGCCTCACATGTATGCTCTTTAACCACTTTCCTACTGAGCATTTTTACCCGCTTCCTGCCCGTGCCAGTTTTCAGCTTTCAGTGCTGTCGCACTTTGACAATTACATGGTCATGCAACACTGTACCCTATACTGTACCTGATTTTATAATTTTTGTCACACAGATAGAGCTTTCTTTGGTGGTATTTAATCACCACTGGGTTTTTATTTTTTGCACTGTAAACTAAAAAAGAGCAAAAATTTTGAAAAAAAATGTTTTCTTTGTTTCTGTTATAAAACTTTGCAAATGTTTTCTCTTTCACTGAAGTACGTTGATGAGGCTGCACTGATAGGCACTGAGGAGGTGGCA